AAACCCTGTCTCGAAAAAACCAAAAAAAAAAAAAAAAAAAAAAAAACAAAGTACTACACTAGTTCAGAGAAGGAATAGAGTAGCCTTGGAGGAAGTTATTTGTATACTATTTAAATTAAGTCACTAGTACTAGGAGATTGTTTTAAACTTACACTTTCTATATAAATAACATAAGTAAATTATATTATTTATAATCCTTGTGGAAAACAGTTAGAAATGTAGCTCAGGGAGCTAGAGGGATGACTCAAGGTTAAGACCACTTGTCTACACTCTGACAATGAGCTACACCTCTTGGCCCTAATGAAATGGGGTGTCACTATGTAGCCCTGGCTGGCCTGGAATTTGCTGTGTAGACCATGTAGGCTCACCTTGAGCTTACAGAGATCCACTTTAAGCCAGTCCTCTTAAAACCACTAAGCCATCTCTCCGGCCCCTTGAATTGCTTTTCAATGTTAGCTCCTAGAGGAATTTTCTTGGTAGGGAATCTGCACATACCAAAACCAATCTCTATAAAAATCAACATATTTGCCCTTGTTCAAATGTTTAAATATTAAAATTAGCAATGATGATAGATTATGTTTATTGTTGACATCTTGAATACTTTCAAAACTAAACTCTTTGTTTTGGCCAAAGGGTCTCTGGCCAATTTCAGATCTACTTTACCCCTCCTTAGTGCTAGAGTAGATGATGCCACGTGCCCAGCACACTCCCTACTGAGTTACCCATGGCTGAGGATGGGCAGCTGAAGTAATACTGCCAACTGACTCTAGGAATGAACCCATCAACATCAGGCAGCTTAAGCATTGCTTTGAGTAGTCCCTATGTTCCAGGCATACTATAGCAAGACATTCAAAAGCTTTCCTTCGATTTCACACAGAGTTCTCTTCCACACTTCCTATTTTTCTTAACATAGTAAGTTCCCCCAGATGGACTTTGTTCTAAATTTACTATAAATTAAGTGACGTCTCTGAACTTAATGGTTCTGTATTACACACCACACAACAGTTACTACTGGTGTGGTTAAACATTCTACATTATCAGGTCCCCAAAGTAGTCGTAATCAGTTATAGGAGACTCTGCTTAAATATCTCATGAAGAAGAACTCAAAGAGGATAGCTTGGATTTGACTATGCCAGGCAACCTCAAGAGGGGCCCATGCGGGGATTCGGGATTCTTCTTGTAACTTAAAAAGAAACTTCCACAGTGATCAGAGTCCTTAGTGTCCTGTAAATGAAAGCTGTTCTTATATCAGAAATCTACTTGGGTAGAACAGCTTTGATTTTCAGTTGCAACTGTACATCTGTAAGAGAACAGGCGGTAGCATCTACCCCGTAAGCCCGAAGAAGACCTGGAGATGCTCTACCATCAGTGTGTCACCACACAGCCATCCTGGCAGGCCCACTGTGCCTAACAGGACTGCTGTCGGCAGGGCAACTCCTACCACTGCCCTCTTCACTCTTGGGGTCTCCACTGATGAGATCTGGGTAATGTTCCTGCAACTATAGCTCTGGTGGTGACTGACCCCTGGTGATCTTTCACTATGGGGTCCTATGGCAACATATTTACCATTGTTCTATGCAACACAGAGTCTCCCTTCACACTACATGCACATCACCATCCCAGATAATAGCAAGGAAGCGCCCTCCTCAGGTCTGACATGGTGGGTGAAGCCTGGGAAGTTCTGCACACTCATGGCATCATCTCCCGTGAGCAGCACCTGGAGAGGTCATGCCTGGTCTCTGCTATAAAGATCCTGGAGAGATTGGAAAGGAAGAGTAAGCTGTCCCAAGGAGGAGGGTCAAGGTGAGTAGACTCCTCAATGCCCAGCTCCCTTTTTCCTGAGCTCACAGACTGATCTGAAGGTGGATCGGAACTCTGTTTGCCTGTGCAGTAGGTTAAAGATTAAAAGTTAAAAAGAAAGAGCTATAAAAGTTGAGAGCTAAGAGGACCAAGATGGCTGGATTAGCGCAGCTGGGTCACAGGGTATCAGATGGGGGAGGACCACTTTCCTCCATCCTTTTCCAACTGAGAGATCCTACTTCCCATGTGCCCTCTAGTGTGGGCTTTGTGCTTTTGCAGGAGGCCACTAGGATGTCCAACAACAGGTCCCAGCTGGTGTTTCCACAACAGACCTCACAGAAGCACATTTGTGTCCTGCCTCCTCTGCCTTGCCTCTTCCACATCAGCAACTCTAAGAAGCACCTTTAATACGCATTCCAGTTAGTTTGTATTTGCTCAAAGCAAAATGTGCTGACGTTGCATTCAAAGACCAAGTTCTACTACTTTAGTTTTTTTTTTTTTTAAATTATTATGTCTACATTTTTATTTTATGGGTATGAGTGTTCTGCCTACATATATGTTTGTGCACCACTTGCATGCCTGGTGCCCAAGGAAGCCAAAAGAGGGAATTAGATCCCTTGGAACTGGAGTTAAACTTGGTTATGAGCATGTGGATGGTGGGAATAGAATCCAGGTCCCCCAGAAGAGCAGCCAGCGCTCATAACCACTGAGCCATCCCCAAGTCCTACTTCTTCAAACATGAGCATATGCCTGTGTTCTTTACTCACTGAGAAAATTTTACCTTTGAAAACCGTACAGCAAAGGGACAAGATGGAACATGAGTCACAAGTACACATGGGCACAACCTCCAGACCTGAAAGTATAGACAGTGTCACAGCTCCACAGCCTGCCAGTTTCTGGGTTGCTAAAGTAGAATCACCCCCGCACACACACACCCCCCACCTAGGCAAACCACAGCGACTTGTGTGGTTGGTGTGCAGCTACAGGCCTCGGCTCTCCTGCCATGTGATTTCACATAGAGCTGGAGCGCTTCCAGTGAGCAGGTGCTAACGGTCCCTGAAAACCAGCTTTTAAAAGAGAACTTAGAGGAGGCAAACAGACATCTCGAGCTGTCATCCCAGATGAACGTGCTTTTGAAATCTAAGAACCCCATGTCATCCAGGACGTTGCTTTCAAAGCTCGATGGGGATCCCAGCACAGAAGCAGGACACAATTTACCCCCCTCCCCATTTATTTTCCCTGAACACCTACTGTGTGCCATGCGGGTGAACCACTCACACCCTTCCCTCTTTAAAATCTTGCTGTCCCTTTAAACCTCAGGCAACAATCACTTTCTTAGAAAGGCATTTCCTTCCTTCCTGGAATGCATTCAGATATTTATTCAGATCTTTATTTTGTGCCCAATCCTTAACGTGTTCTAGAGATTTCAGCACAGCCAATCTAGCTTAGAGCCTACTGAGATAACAACTAAAAGTTAATTGAGTAATAAAGCATGTACTTATTCCTTTGGGAGATAAACATCCAGTACATAATCCATCCTGATTTCTCTTGTTTTCCAAATCCCATGGAGTAAACACTCCCACCATATCACCATATCCAGCTCATGCTACCAACATCAAGTCCCTGATCCTGAACTGGGAGGAAGGGTTCCCATCAGATCTCATAGACTAGTCTGGACTGGTAGGCACTAGCATGCCATGGCTTCACACCCACAGATTCCCTTAAATAATGCGTCATCACTTCTGTCTGTCATTACAGTAGGCACAGAGGAGCACCTCTTAGCCCTAGGTCGCATGTCATCAGAGACCCCATGGAATAAAGCCTTACACAAATAGTTATCCAGGATAAGCTGACATCACTAGTAATGGAATGTTAGGGTTTTTTTATTGAAATAATTTTTCTTTTGTTTTGTTTTTTGAGACTGAGTTTCTCTGTTTAACTTTGGAGCCTGTCCTGGAACTTGATCCATAGACCACACTGGTCTAGAGAGCTGGCTGCCTCTGCCTCCTGAGTGCTGGGATTAAAAGCGTTGGCCACCACCTCCCAGCAAAATAATTTTTATGCAGTATGTTCTGATGGCTGTCTCCCCACCCTCACCTTTTCCCAGATCCTCCTTGTCTCCCTGTCTAACTCCATGCCTTCTTTCTCCTTTCTCTCTCTTTAGAAAACAAACAGGTTAATTAAAAAACCAAACATACTAAAACAAAACAAACAGAAAAACAGAGAGAAAAAAGGAAAAGCATGAGAAACACACACACACACACACACACACACACACACACACACACACACTTGCACCATTAAATCACCAAATTAGAACCATAATAGATAAGCAAACAAATCAAAACCATAGTAGATAAACAAAAGATGAGTACAGTTTTAAAAAAGGCTCAAACGAAGCCTCATGAGACAAAACCTCTCCAAAATACCATCAACATTGTCTTGTGTTGGTCATCTGCTGGGCATGGGGCTCCCCTTAAGTGTGGCTTCAATACCCAGTGAGACTTCATTGGAGAAAACTTAACTGTTCCTCTGTGAACAGTAGTCAGTTGGAGGTAGCTTCTGGGTTAGGGATGGGGGCTTGTGTCCACTTCCCCTCTCAGTGCTGGGACTCCATCTGGCTTGGAGCCGTGCAGCGTCAATAACGCTGCGTCTGGAAGGCACTTGGTGTTCTCTACTCCTTTCGGCTCCTACCCTCTTCCTGCCTCCTCGTCTGTGTCGTTCCCTGATCCCTAAGGGGAGGGGCTTGAAGATGTGCCATTTAGTACTGGGTGTTCCAAGAACTCTCACTTTCTGGACTGGAATATTGATAATTAAAAATCTGTTTGAGATTACAAATAGGATCCTGTTTAAGGAAATGCGGATTCCCATTAGAGCTTTTGAGGAAATCAAAGGAGCCTGTGAAGATGAGTTCTCGTTTTTTGAAGCTTATGGATGAGTAAAAAAAGATGACTTCAGGGGCTGCAGTGAAGATTCAACAGTTAAGGGCACTTGTTGCTCTTGCAGAGGACCTGGCACGCATGGCGGCTACCATTCATAGTTCCAGTTCCAGAGGATCCAGTTTCTTCTTCTTCTGTCCTCTGGGGAAATTGCATGCGCGCGCGCGCACACACACACACACACACACACACACACACACACACACACACACACAGAGAGAGAGAGAGAGAGAGAGAGAGAGAGAGAGAGAGAGAACCCATGCATATAAAATAAAAATAAATTTAAAAAATGTGAACTTTTCTCCTATCGTCTAGGATAATATATAACTAACAATTGGTTTGAGGAGTAGTTCCAAAATGAAGACTTAAGGACTTCAGTTAGGAATTTATTTTTCTTTTCTATTGGTTGGTTGTTGTGTTCCTGGGAACCCAGGGCCTCACACATGCCCGTTAAGTGCCCACCTACCCACCCCTAGCCCTCGAGCAGGAAATGTCCACTCTGGTCTCTATTCCTGATAATCCACTGGTAGAAGTTCAATTTTTTGATTTATTTTGAAACCTTAGTCGAACTTTAAAGCTTCCATAAAGATTGGCGTTCCAACACCATGCCTTTTCATTGATTATCAGCAGGTGCCTCCCCTGTATGTAATGAAAGGGCTAGTGCAAAGAGGACGGCAGGAGATGGGGGCAGATGTTCCGAGAGCAGAACTGGAAATGCGTATAAACAAGTTATCTGTTTTACATTACTTTATTTATCTGCGTCCAATCTAAGTAGCTAATTCATATTTTTCCAATGCCTAATATTTTATTTTTGGTCATGTGCTTATACTAACCTTTACAGAGCACTTAGGTTTACTGAGAAAATGAAAAGGGGGCGAGAGAATGAGATATAAAAAAATGTTGGCTTTAGCAGCAATTTCTATGCAATATAACTAAAAAATAACTTTATTTTGTTTTTTTTTTTTTACTAGCAAAAGCAAGAAAGCCAGTTGTATAAATGACTACCATGTAGGGGAGGCTCTGCAAGCATTGTAATGCTGCTTGATCTACCTCAGCCTAGGCACCTTCATCTGGACATATCTTTGACAGTGGAGGAGGGTTTGCTATTGCTAAGAATGGCCAGGATTATACTCTCAATAGCTCTCAGTTTGGGAAGCAAGTCTCATCTGTAGCATGGGTGAGTGATTCCCTGGGGGGTATGGCTGGGACAAATGAGGCTCAGCTCCTAGGACTGGGATCTGCGGCCCCAGGATGTACTCCGAGGATTAAATGCAGTGTGTCAACACACACTGAAGCCTCTTGTGCAGATCTGACATGGGTAGTTAGTAGAAAAGCCTTCCTTTAATTAACTGCAGACATAAATGTATGAAAGAAGACCTCTGTAAAAGATCTTAGGGTTGAACACTTCTTATATAACAGGCATGAGACTTAAGCAAGTGGGGCAGATGTGACAAGAGAGTCTTTGATGTTGATAGAAAGGCAAACTGGAAAGATTCATTCATCCTTCAGAACCTCAGATCCACCCACACTGGAAATTGTCACTAACGTTCTCTGGCCCAGGAATAACACATACCCAGACTTGTAAAGTTTGTCTTGTTGTTTGAGTCTTATAATAGAAAGAGGCCAAGAGGCAAAGAGTTTTATGAAAGTGAAATATTAACATTGAGGTGGCCACCAATGGACAAATTCAGACCCCAGTTGACAAGATACACAGTTCCGAAAGCTGTCAGCCCTGTGACAGACTGTGGCCCAAGAGAAGAGCCTCCTGAATTTTCACCAGCTCATCTTCTTTCTCCAGGATGATGATGCCATTCTTGCTTCGCCTTGTTGTGCTGCTTGGTTTGCAATAAAATCTCCTGTATACCTCTCTAATAAAATGTAATTCATGTGCATGGACTTTGTGATAAACTATTTTTGAGGTCCCATAAAGTGTTGGTCATTGCTTTGAAAGAAAACATGAGACTGCTCATCCTCAGAAGAACTTTGATTTACAACATCTGAACAGAGTAACAGCTTCCCTGGGTGTCCAGTTCCTGACTTCTGAATAGAAGAAGACATTTGTTT